TGTCAGGCCCAACCTCAATCTTCAGTTAAAATAGATTGGTTTTTCACAACTTTAGCTGGGAATCTCTCTATTTTGTTTTCTTCTAGCTTATTCTTTTTGTAATTGAGACTGCTGTAGACTTAGTTTTCTGTTCTTTTGCATATAAATTTTTATTTGAAGCATTTTTATGGTAGGCATGTCATGAGTGGAGCCAGTTGGAGCCGGAGGTCAGACTAGATGGCCCAGGAGACCCTTCTGACTCACTCTGTTTCTGTGTTTCTATGTGTTTATGCCATTTATAGAGCCTTCCCCAACCTGGTGGCCTTCAGAGGCATTTGGACCACAACTCCCAGATTGCCCATCCAGCAGGGCCTTTGACTGGGAATTCTGGGTGTTGTAGTGTCTACAAGGCACAAAGTAGTGTAAGGCTGATTTATATGAAGGATGCATTGATTATAAGGACACCACATTCAAGAAGAAGAGGGTGGTGGTGGGGGGCGGGTAGTTATTTTAGCAGAGATGCTGGAATGGCCCTGCTTCTGCCGCTTATCTCTCTCAGCCTGTTGGAACAGCCGCTGACAGCTGAGGAAGGAGAGGTCTCCATGGGAGGAGAGGTCTTCTACAGGGCTGGTAGAATGGATCTGTTCTCCCTTTCCTCCGCAGCACACATGCATATTCACATAGGATTCATTATTTAATGGTGATGTTTCACTCAGTATTGAATACTGGCAGTCCCCAAGTTATGAACGACTGAGTTGTGAACATCCCATGCTTACAAATGGACTGCCATAAAGCCTATTAATTTAGAAAAATTATTGCAGGAAATGGTCATCCCCATATAGACAGAGTAAATGGAGTTGAGGGGAGATGCCTCCAAGGTGTGGCATTTCCTTGCTGCAAAGAGGAGGCACTGGTGAGTTTGGGTGGTGGGCGGGAGCTGGAGGTATTTGCAGTTTCTTCCCTTTCACAGGGACCCGCACCCCAACCCCCATGAACGTGGAGGGCCAGCTGTACACGATCCAAATTACATACACATTCTAGTAAAAGATTAATTTCCATTTTCTTAGGGATGGAACTCATTCGTAACCCAGGGACTGCCTGCGTCACTGTAGAAGCCTTTGGTAGAAAACCAGTTTCCATGAATACACTGTTTGGCATCCCTTGTTCAGGGTTACCCTCTGAAACTTCCCCTATCCAGTTCTGCAGGCCTTCAGAAAGATACATAACCCCCTCCTGTTTCATTAGGCTTGCTAGCCAGTGTTAACATGTTAAAAACAACAACATAAACAATATACTGGCAAGTCTTGTTTAGAGCATTAAATACTTCACATGGTCTTTCTAATTGAAAGATTACAGTATGTAGGGGTTGTCCATTTAAAGGGATAGATGGAAATGTGGATCTTTGTCTGACCAAGACTGTTGGTTTTTTAAGGTTGAGCTTATTCTGCCTGGTTTCTACATGAGTTTGCACTTTCATGCAAGTGCAATGTACAAAAGTTGCAAAAATGTGCACCTTGCAATGCAAATGTTTCCTGTAGTGTACATTTTATTTATGTATGTATTTATTTATTTATTTAAAACATTTCTATGCCGCCCCAGTTGCAAAAAGCCTCAGGGCAGCTTACAAAACAAGTGCATCTGTGCAATTTAGTGCATATGTGCAATTTTTCTAACTATGGCTATAATGTAGTTTTGCGTGCATTCTATCCAAATATATGTATTTTATGCACACATTTCCCTAATAAATATTTGCATTACAAACTTAGCAAAATGTGGATTTCAGTACACAATTCTGTTTCAGCCTACTTAAAGGCATAGGAGGTGTGAATTGGATAAATCCATAAAATAAAAACATAACCCATGAGGCAGCAGATTTCTTACCTACTCCCAGATGTTTAGTGATGCTTTTTCCCTTTTCAAATGCAAACTTCAGTTCCTTTGTCTCTTCCCCTTGAATCCTAGTCGATGCCTAATGGGGGGAAATTTAAAGAAATTATAGGTTGTATTCGAGTCAAGGTGCATGTAACCAGGCTTGTAGAAAGAGGCTTCTGGATCCCCTCCCTTCAGCTCCTGCAATGCTATCTAGGGGGTTAGGGGACCCGGCCGGATGCTGTGAACTGTGATGTAGCAGGAGAGAGGCTGAATCACAGCATCTCCAAAATTCTTCCCTGAAGCCCCACCCCCACTCACTGTGGACGGTACTTGGCCAGATGTACCGGTGGCTTGACTTGGTCTTGGGCTGCTTCCTAAGCTGCTGTGTACTGAATGAGCTGGCATGAGTCCTCCCATTTCCCCAATCCTAAACTCTGGAATTCCTAGTGCAGATCTTGGATCTGCACCCTACCCACTGGCTCCTGGTGGCAATGCACTAGCAAAGTGAACATTAAAAAGAAACACATTCTGGCAATGGAAGATTTGTAATCTTTTCTGACAGGTATTTTTTCCTCCTCAAGTATCATTAGCATTTGTAATTGCTCATTACTTGTGCAAAAGGCTTGACTCAGCAGCATCTAGGCTGCTGTTCTTTGCAGCTGTGTTGCTGCGTAACAATGCAAGGTCACTTGGGTGCCACGTATTTTGCACTGTGGGCAGTGGGCTCTTTTTGGATGGGAAAGATATCTGCACGTGTCCCATGAAGAACCTGCCACACCTGCAGCTGTTTTAAAATTGCATGTGCTCCTTCAGCACAACCAGGGATTTTCCTGCATTTGTAATGAAAGCTGTGAGAATTGCCAACTTCTTCCTTTTTCAGATTGCACAAGCTGTGCCGCCTCCCTCCTAGGCCTTTGTTGTTGTTAGGGTTAGTCAGCAGTCCAAATAAGCAAATATTTGGCTTTTCTATCCTCACTAATTGCATTTTTAAGGCAGGGTGGAATGGTGTATTGCACACATGCCTCTGCTCCCATGTGGGCTGCTTACTTAAAAGGGAGAACGGCGTTAAGAAGTCAGCCCTGCGATGAGGCAGACGGAGCAGGATCGTCCCATGCACTGGATGCTTGGAAGCGTGGCACCCCCACGCCTTCTCTCCAGGGCCACTTCACGCCATCCAGACTAAGCCGACCTGCTGCCCACAGGTGTGTCCTTTGTGCTAGCCTTCAGACGTGGCAGAGGATGCCAGCCCACAGGCAGATTCAGAATAGGTGGCAGGACAGGTGAGCACCATCTCACCCTTTGCCTGATGTATCACGGAGTCCGGACCAGCCCTGAAGCAAAAGGCTCAAAGTCCTGCATACACACTTCAGACAGTTTTTCTCTAAGCCAGGCTTGTTTCAGAGGCAAGCTGGGGAGCAAACAATGAAAAATGACTGGGAAGGGCATTTGTAGGGAGAATCAATTTGCAGATGGAGAACTGAGCACCCCTTCATCAATTCTTCTCTGAAAGTGTTCTCCGGAATACATTTCTGCTTTACTGGGAAACCACAGTATTATTGGCTCAATTTTAAGGTAGGAGGGTGGAATGGATGGCTTATAAAGTATCTTCCAGGCCTAACATTTATTGGAAAATAAAATTGGGGCCGGCAGTGCAACAAGAAAATAAATAAATAAGCAAATGGGAGGGACCCCTTGAACAAGATGAGGACCTTGTCTGCGTGGCCTTTGTTCCACTTGAATCCCACTCGTCCATCTTGCAAGTTAGTAAAAAAGTAGGATCACTTGTCATAGCTGTAAGCTATCAATAAAAATTAACGTAGCACAGGAAATTGAAAGGGAGAAAAGGCATTTAAATGTTCAGGGTCACAGAGTTATCCTGCATCCCTTATGAGCATCTCCCAGTGAGAAGAGACATTATTGTTTGCCACCGGCTGCATTTTCATGCTATACTCCTAACATTAAATGCCAACATATTCAAATGAAGGGCATAGCTAGTAAACTAGCATGTGATCAGCAGGCAGAACAGAGCTGCACACTAGCAAATGCTCTGGGATGAGAAAATGTGGAGAATGTATCACAAAATGCTGTTGCCCCTAAGGGCAGTGCAGTGTGGCTTCGAGGTGCCCCCTGCTTTGCCTGTCCACATTGTAAAGAAACAGGTAAGCTCACAGGAGTAGCTTGACTGACTGTTACCTTGTTAATTAGGCAACAGAACCAAAATGAGGCAGAGGTGGGAAGGGGCTCTTTTCACTTTCCAAGAAAGAAAATCCTGCTGTTTATGTAGGAGAGTGATTTCCTGGTATGTAGTGTGGGCAGCGCAGTAGTAATTTTAAAATGCACAGAGCATGATTAGCAGTGGTTGGTTCTTGGGCCATGCATTGAACCACATTTGAAATGTCTTCTCTACTCTGTAAGCGGATCAACCGATTTGCACCAGTTCTTGAAAGTCTGCTGATTTTTATGGGGGGGTGGGGGTGGGGTGAGGGGGTTTGCTCTGGCAAATCTGGAAGAAACTCTTCTCTGATACCCTGTAAAATCTGTTTACATTTCTGTTATGCTTGCTGTCTGAATGCTTGTGTGTGGTTAGAGTCCATCTCCATTCACCCTTTCAGGGAAAAAATGTAAGTGCCCTGTTATTTCTACTCAGTATAGGGGCTTAATATTAGGGTAACACCACACAAACATTATCTGGGATGTAAAAAGCAGGGTGGCTGTTTTGTGCATGGATGGGTGGTTGTTCAGGAACATGAGCCCTCGTGTCATGTGCAAATGGCTCTTGAAATTCAGGGGTGTTCACAAGCATTACTCCCCCACAAGGATAACTTATTCATGTAGATCAGCACATGCGTTCACTCACACTTTTAACCCCACCTCCATAAACATTGTACTCCAGAGTGTTCAGAAAGCACATTTGCACCTTCAGTAAATGCATTAAGACAAAACCATAAAAACTGAAAGAATAATTCCAGATAATAACAGCAGCAAAGCGTACCATCAATACGACATCATAAAACCAGATTAAACCAATAGCAGAACAGAGTACTAAAAGTGCTGAAAAGAGTCCTTTAAAAGCCCAGGAAACACAAAAGGTGCTGGAAAGACCATCATGTGGATGCCAGGTGAGCTTGTGTGGGGAAAGCATTGCGCAAATGGTGAGGCACAATTCAAAGGCCTACCTGCCCATCCTCTGTTTGGCCTACCTGCCCATCCTCGTTTGGGATATCTGGAGGAGATCCCCAAGCAGCGATGATAAGGTTCAAGTAGGTAAATATGGCAGGAGATAAACCAGTCCTGAGCTAGATTATGAAGAACACATGTGTTTATTTTGAGGAAGGAATGGCTGCCATTTTTAGTTTTGGCAAACTGGCAAATAAAAACATCAATCCATGTTTTTGCTTGTACAGCATCCTTATTTGTATAGGAAAATTGCCTCATCCAACACATTGTTTATTAGCAAGAAGTGCAGTGTGATGGTGTATTGCTAGGGTAAAGAATCCTGATAAAAAGGGATTGAACATATTTCCTAAGATATGAAAAGTATAATGGATCATAGAATAGTAGCTTTGGAAGGGGCCAGAGGGCCATCGGGTCCAGCCCCCTGTTCAGGACTCCAAATTAAACCAGCTGTCTCAGATGCCTCCGGGTGGGAGAGCCCACCACCTCCCTAGATCATCAGTTCCATTGTCATAGTGCTCCAGCAGTCAGGACATTTTCCCCAATACCTAGCTGGAATCTGGCTTCCTGTAATTTGAACCCATTATTCTATGTCCTGCTGTCTGGGATGATCTAGAAGAGATGCTGTCCTTCCTCTTTCTGACAGCCTTTCAAGTGCTTGAAGAGAGCTATCATATCTGCCCAATTCTTTCTATCGGCCCCCACAGGCCTTTGTTTCCAGACCCCTTGTTGTCCTTCTCTGAGCCCTTTCCACAATGCCTGCCTCTTGCTTAAGCTGTGGTGCCCAGAACCGGACACAGTTCTCGCGATGAGGCCTAACCAGTGCTGAGTAGCGTGCAACTTGTACTTCAGATGATCTAAACATTCTAACCATAAAGTTTTAGGCTTGTCCTCAGTTTTTGGATTGCTATTGCCACCCATCTGTGTAATTCACCTGTGCCATTTTCAACGTTCCTCACTACCCAGAATGAAAGCTAGAAGCAATTCTTCTACTCAGCCTGATGGCACCTTCCCAATCAAATAAACAAAGAAGCAGGGAGCCAAGTTTTCTGCACTAACAGTTGTGTCTTCTGTGTTGGGAAGAACATGAGAAGAACGTTCCACTCAGTAGCAGCAGGGGGCAGACCCCTTTTCCCCGTTTGATTCCTTCTGTCATGAAAATGCCCTCTGCCCCTGCCCCAGCTCACGAGCCCCAGTGTCCATGGCCCAACTCTGCGATCCTTCAGAGGAACACTTGTGGTACATGGTGGGCATATAATGAGCGGAGACAGCTAGAGCCGGGGGTCAGACTAGATGACCTGAGAGGCGCCTTCTGACTTGCTCTGTTTCTATGTACAGCGGTCAAACAGTAGTGCCCGTGCTTTGGAGCCCTCCTCCAGTACACAATCGGCACCCCAACCCCCAAAACACCGTTCTGATCCCTGAACAGTTAGCAATGGTTTGTAGCACACAGCAGAATTTACAGTTTTGTTGCTAATTAATTTGCATTGTCTTTTAATTGTTCTATGAACTGTCATTTTTAAGCCATTGTATTTTGTCTTCACTGCTTTCTGATTCCTTGTGGAAAGCAGTATATACATCTGAAAAATAAATAACATGATACATAAATGGGGAGGCAAATCTGGAGCAGGACCATTTTGGCTGTGCTCTAGGGAGGATTTTTTCAAAAGTTTTATGGACAGGTCCTTCGTACACCTGAAGCTGCACTGTACCTGCAGTACTTTCAGTTTCTCCTTGGAACCTCACGCTGTATGAACTGACACAAAGCTGTGGAGCACCTCCTGTGCACGTGTTTTGAATGGTACTGCAAAATAAAGCAGCATCACAAACCAAAACACAAGCATCCCATTTAAGAAGAATTTATATTTTTCTGAGTGCATCCATAAGCAACACAGCAGAGAAGAGAGCTTGAGAGATTATCTGCTAAGAATACAGACAATCAAAACACCAAGGTCTGAGCCCATTAACTTTTATTATATAAGATGAGAGGCAGTACACTCGGAGGATGTAGCAGGCCTTCTAGAATTAATCAATCTGAATTAAGTGGAAAGAGTGCAACAGATTTCTGGGACTGGGATGTTAACATTTAGAAAAGGAACCACTCTGCTGCACACTGCAGACCCTCCTGACTTGGGTCAAGGTTCTTCATGGTTCTGGGAAGATCTCTGGATTGTCAGAGATCTCTAAAATGCTCGTTAGGCAGTTCCCAAAACAACTGTCTCACCTGCCTTTTGATGCACCTGTCTCACCTGCCTTTTGATGGAATCTTTCCTGCTGAGGAGCCAGAATGCTTCCCTGGATCACATCCAGCCTCATTCATTCACATCCCATCCCACTCACCAGAAGTGCCAGATACAGATCATTGAACCAAGACTTGGATTCATGGAGATACAAAGAAATCACCATGGCTCTTTATGTAGTGTTTTCCCAGCCTTTTCTAGTCCAGTTTACTACAGATGCTTTGGAACTCAATCTCCCTCAGTCCCAGCCAGGATGGAGTCATAACGAAAAGCATCTGGAAGTCACCAGGCTGAGGATGGCTGTTTGAATCAGTGTGCACACAAATATGGCTAAGAAGTAAAGATGCAGACAGAGCGAAGGAACTGAAGGCTGTGCCGACAAGCACTTTTTGGATCCTCGCTAGATATGAGTCCTGAGACAAGCCTTCTTCCCAGACGGGAATTTCTCCAACTTGAGCACTGAAGCTTGTTGAAGAATTCATATTGCCCTTCCAGGCAGACCAAGGCAAAGCATTTCTAGCTAAAGGCTTTAATTTGTTAAAGCTGACCAGCTAGGCTAATTTGATAGTATAAAAGAAGACGATTGCAAAAGCCAGTAACAAAAGCCTACAATGCTGCCTATTAGCGGAATGTGGCTTAATGATAAGAAGCTGGTTCCAAACTAAAAGCCCCTCCTCATTTCAATCTGGAAAGAGCCAAGCACTCCTTCGAGGTGGGTCCTCCTGTTTAAAGAACAGTCTTTTGGGGCACCTGATGCTTCTCAACTGGTCTACCCTCTGAACCGGAGGCCGTATTCTCAAAGTAATGATATCATGTCTTCCCTCCCACATCAGCTTGTTCACTAAACCTTCCCACAGAACTTGACACTGTCTGATTTTCAGCAGCTGTCTGAGCTGGCTGTCTCTGGGTCCATTTGCCCCTGGCATTTCAGCTGTAGGTTCTGGTTTCAACGTTTCAGCTTCCTGCCTAAATCAGAATCTTAAAGGCTCTTTTAGAGGAGGAGGAGGAGGAGGAGGAGAGCTAGTCCCATCTTGCAGCAGCAGGAGGTACTCTGCTGAAATATGGGTGCCTTTGGTCAAAGCCCAGACTCTACTCTTTTGTCACAGTAGCAGTTGTGCCTACTCTGTAACCTAGTAATGATTGCTGTGGATAGTTTTATCACAATAGTTTTGTTGTCGGATGCCGACAGAGTCTGGGCTTTGACCAAAGGCATCCATGTTTCAGCAGAGTATCTCCTCCTGCTACGAGGTGGGACTGGAATTACTAGACCAAGAAGCCCTGGTGGAAAAAAGATGTTATTCACATCATTACTGCTGAGTGGGAAACAGGTGCAAACCTTCTGAGAACAACTCACTGGCTCAACTGATCTAAGCAGTATCCATTCATGCTGGGGATGTTGGCCCAATCACATCACCTATAGCAAAAATTGTACCACAGGGGCTCTAGGATTCCCACTGCTCCTGCTTTCTAACTTAACTAGTTAAGTTCCTAACTAGTTAATACCGCTTAAACTGACAGAAGAAATGCATCACCAAAATTAGGGCAAAAATGGTTACAGACTGAGCTAGCATTTTTATGCACTGATTTCTTCATAGTAGTGCCTTTAGAAATAAAATAGAAATACGAAGCCTAGTGGAGAAGGCTGTGGATGGTTTGCCTGGATGCTGGTCAGTCTGCTCTCCAGGTGCTGGTTGCTGCGCTCCCTTCTTCTGGTTCTTGATCCTAAAGTGAAACTTTGACTGGGTTGATCTTCAGGCAGAGGACTCAAGATAAATGACTAACATGGGGACAGCAGAGGTGAGTGCACTCATGGTCTTGGAGGCAAGATCTCTGCTCACCTTCATACCACTAAAGTACATGCAAATACTTGTGCATATTTCCAGCATATGCATCTGTGCTCAGGATATCTGAGTTCTGAGAAGCGCTTGGCAGTTTCTGTAAAGTGCAGCTGCTTTTTTCCAATGGACAAAAAGAGTGAGTTGTGAGCTGCCCTACTGTGATGCTTCTTGTGGGTGGGGGCAGCGCCTGCCTCTTTCTACTTTCAACTTTCTACTTGTGGGTTCTGGCAATGCTTGGTGATGAAGTTGAGGCTGCAGGGTCTTGTTAGGGAGCAAATCCTGCACAGGAAGCAGGCCAGAGTACGTTTCTCAAGCAAAGGGGGAAAGATATCTGCACCACAGATGCTTCAAGTGGAGCTGGGGCTGGAAGCCAAACAGGACTGTCTATATTTGGTCCCCACAAAGACTGAGGCAAAAGTAGGAAGTTGCTGACATTTAGACTGGTAAGCGCCATTGAGCGAGACTGGTTCTTAAATTGGCCTGGTCCACTTCAGCAACCTCTGATTGCAACAAGCACCTTCAGGACCTGAGTCCTTGAGTCTGGGACTGCGCTGCACGTGCCCCGGGAGAACGTGCAAGCAAGCGAGCAATCCAGCCAACCAGCCAGCCAGCGATAGATTCCCAGGACTGTCCCTGTGCCAGCGGTGGTGCCTGCACCTGTGGCAACAACTGTCAGTGCAAAAACTGCAAGAGCAAATTGTGTAAAAAAGGCTGCTGTTCCTGCTGTCCCGTGGGATGTACCAAGTGTGCCCAGGGCTGCATCTGCAAAGGCCCCCCAGCCAGCAAATGCAGCTGCTGTAAGTAAACTGCCGGTCGCTTGGTTGAGTGCCAACCTGTATATTAGCCCACAATCATGTAACACTCGATGTCCATTTATATATATTTGCCTGTGTGTTTTCCAGTCTGTAGATGTGAGTACAAGGTACGTGGAAAGCAATAAAGGTATCTCTGTATAAGTAATACAAAGAAGAAGAAGAAGAAGAAGAAGAAGAAGAAGAAGAAGAAGAAGAAGAATCATCATCATCATCATCATCATCATCATCATCATCCATGAGTACAGCCTCTCTACATGCAGCAGGCTGCTGGTATTTCTCCATAAAAGTGGCTTTTGGGGAAATGGAAACCTTACAACATCTTTCTCTGGCCGAGTCTCCTATTGACTCCGGACCATCTCTGGAGAGCAGAAGGGTTTGGTTTTGCTGGGATGATGGTTCTGCATACTGGAATCTGATGTGGAATCGCTCAGGAATCTGATATGTCGCACCAGATTCACTGCCTTGCCAGAGAACCCCCCCTTTGTTCCTACAAACACATTTCTTGAATCTCGGCCAGCAAGGCAAATGAAAGGCATCTTGCTGTCTATCTCCAGTGGGCAGTCCTGCAAAGCAGGGATGGGAACCTCTACCAGACGGAGAACCACTGTTCATTTGCAGAGGTCTCCTTCCAGTGATGGGCAGAATCACAGGAAAAACGGGGCAGATCCTCTTCTGGCTACAGTGAGCATATTGCAGCTTAAAGCTCTGACTGCCAGTATCTAAGCCTTAAGAGAATCAAGCAACTGTTTCGAATGGGGGAAAAACTGCCTGCAAACTATCTGGTGATGGGGCAGCGTCATCTGGGAAACTCTGATGGGCGCTGCCTGCAACCCCAGGAGTGCTGCGTTTGGTGCTCAGGTTTCGGACCTCACCTCCTCTCCTGTCATAAGAATATAAAGGTAGCTCCTAGAATTCTTTGTCACTTGACCCTGTGGCACCAGCATGTCATTAGCATGTTTCTGGTTTGTCTCTCATGACTCCAAGGCTAAAACCATGGTCCCCCACAGGCCTCCTTTCTTTTTTAATGCTTCCCATAGTTTTTGGAACACCATCAGCTTACCACACAGGCAGCTTTTTGTGGGAAAATCAAAACTCAGCAATACTTCATGCAGCTCCATCCCATAACCTTTTTGTGAACAATGGGACGGATTCATTAATATTGGTAGAACAATAAATACAGATGATTTTATTTTTGTACACCATTTCTTTCTCCCTCTTCCACTTCATTTTTAGTACCTGAGAATAAAACTTAGAGGGTGTGATAATATTTAAGCATCTATTTCAGATTCCTAAATCCTTCTCTCTATTATCCTAACATACCATTTTCTTACATATTCCTTATTAAGCCTTTTTGATGAATAGAATGGAACTTATGAATTTGGGGGGGGGGGTGTAAAGCCCATGGGTGGTAGTTCATTAGTGTATAAATATAGTTTAACTTCCTGCATAATTACTAATTCTTTTATTATTTTTGTAATGCTTTTTGCTTAGTTTGCTTTGGATAATGTTCAAAGTACTATTCCCAGCAAAGATCCCCAAGAGACAGAAATTCTGGCTATTAAAGTTTTTTCCTTTCCTTTCCTTTCCTTTCCTTTCCTTACCTTACCTTTCCTCTTTTCTTTTCTTTTTTCTTTTCTTTTCTTTTCTTTTCTCTCTGAGATACAGCACACTGAGAGGACCCCTAGGCTATTTATAATTTGATTTTATTTCAAAAATTTAACTGGAAGAACATGGTGTCAGAATCTAAGAGAAAATGCTTCAAATATCAGCTATATTGGTGTGCACTCAAAGAAATTGATTTTAACAGTTTGACTGTGGTTTGGGGTGCAAAAGAAACTCCCATGATTGCTGTTACCATTCTGTCATTAGTCTATAAATTCTTTAGGACATTCTTAAATAAAAATGGTAAAATTAAGGGTTTGATTTTATAGCATGTTATATAGGCTTTCCAGATTGAATGCTCCCCAAGGATTACTCATTTATGTGGACATTGGTACTTCTAAGTCCCCCGCCTTTAAGAAAGTTGGCGTGATATTCGTTGTGGGTGAACCCCACCTTGTTCCCAACTTGCATCAGAATCTTTCACAAATACAGTGACCTGTAAAGACACACTAGTGCCACTACTAATAAAAATACCTAGGAAATGGGTTGACTTTATATGAGCCAGTCTGAATCTGACCCATCCCTGTCCATTCACACACGTCCCACAAGCCCACTTTCCTGTCCACTCACCTTCCGGGCCACCAGCCCCCAATTATCTTGCCCTGTGCTCAAAATCCCACTCGCTACAATAGCCATTGTGGTGCTGGACTGGGACTCAGGGGATCTGGGTTCTTGTCCTCACTTGGTCATGAAGCTCACTGGGTGACTCTGGACCGGTCTCCAGCTCTCACCCTAACTTGGCTCACAGGAGTTTTGTGAGAGTAAAATGGAGAAGAGCCTGTATGCGCCCTCAGGCTCCTTGGCAGAAAGGGGGATGTAAATGCAATAAATGCATAAATGGGCGACTGCTAAGCATTTTCCACCACCTTCCGCCACCTTGCCCATGAATGAGGTCTGAGTGAAGGAGCAATAGGCCTCTCAAGAAGGCCATGCTATTGGAGGATCAAAGTGCCCTGATTGTGCAGTCCTTGTCTGGCACTACTTCAGACATCTTGGCATTCGCTTGTGAGGGTACCAGGAAGGGTGCAGCAGAAACAGCCCATAAGAAGCTGCCCAGCTGGAGCCACAACATGCATGTGGTCCATGCATATGGTGGAGCACATGCATGTGGTCAACGTTGGACAGCACAGGCTTCCTGTGCTACGGAGGCATGTCCTCTGTGCAGCAACCTATTTGTCTGCCTTGAGCTGTGTGAGTCCTCTTCTGCGGGTTCATTTCTTCAGAATGACACCTTCCTTCCATGACACCTTCCTTCTTCGTGTTTGCAGAGGAGTTGTCACCTAGGATCCATGTACCTGGCAGTGCATTTTCACACTCACAACCGTAGAAACACGCAGTTGGATGGAGCCTCGCAGGCCATGAGGTCCAAAGACTTGCTCAGTGCAAGAATCAAGTCACCCATCCAAATTTCAACCCAGCCCGACCCTGCTTAGCTTCCAAGATTACGCAGGACTGGGCACTTTAGGCTAAATTAGCAACCAGCACACACACACACACACACACACACACACACACACAGAGGGAGGGAGGGAGGGAGGGAGGGAGAGCAGCCCCCAAACAAGTTTGTAGTAAAGTCTCTTTCTAAGGGGGTGTGTAGGGGTGAGTCTGGGGGCAATTGTTGGTTCTTTTCTTATCCTTTTTTATTTAAAATATTTCTACACTCTTCAAATTATCATTAATTCTCTCAGTACGGTTTACAGAAAGCAAATATATCAAAATAACAAAAACTGAAAACATTTAAAAAGAGTCATCTGCAGTAACAGTAAAATCTGTCAGGCATGTGTGGCAAACAATAAGCAATGCAACACAATGCAATACAATACGTAATAACAGCTAATCCACCTGTGCCAAAACAATTAAAAGTCAATATTAAAATAATCAGTGGTTAAAATGGCAAGAAAATAAAGGTTTAACATGTCTCCGAAACAGGCATATCTCCCTGGAGAGCACAGATGGGGCACCACAGCCAAGAATGACCCTCCCCTTATAGCCACCCTCTTGACTTCCTTCAAAGTGATCTAAGGTGATTTAAGGGTCCAGGCAGGCATATATGGGAGAAGACACCCTTTTAGATATCCAGGCCCTAATCCATTTAAGGCTTTATACATTAGCACAAGCACCTTAAAGCAGGCGTGGACTTCAACTAGTAGTCATTGCAGATGATACATCACCAGGTTAGTGTGCTCATTTCTGCTTGTCTCTGTCAACAGATGAACTGCCCTATTCTGAACCAACTGGAGTTTCTGGACCATTTTCAAGGACATCCCCATGTAGAGCACACTGCAGTAGTCTAAATGTGAAGTCACCTGCACATGGATTACCATTGCTAGATTTTGCCTGTCCAGATAATGACACAGTTGAGAAATCAACTGAAGCTGATGGGAGGCACTCTTGGCCACAGATGCCACTGAGACTCCAGAGACAATTCCAGGTCCAAGAGCATCCTCAGGCTCTGCACTCTGTCTTTTTTTTTGTGGGGGGGGGCAACCCAAAACAGGGCAGATAGCATCCTCCTGGATCAGGGTTCCCCCCACCAATAGTTTGATGACTCTGGAATGGTTAAAAAAGAAAGAGAAAGAGGTTGGGAAAGAGGTTTATGTGGGATCACCTAGCATACCTTCTAAAATCTCATTTTTGTAGTTTTAAGAAAGTTCCATATCGTGCTATCTGTATTTTATTTACTGACTTATCTAGACTTATAAATATTTGAGTAACATTTGGTCTGGATAAAAATCTTTCCCGGCAGCTCATTGCAAATACACTTTTTGCTCCGGAGACAATAGCAATCAGATAAATTAATATTGATTCGTGAGAAAATACTTTCTTTTTAAAAAGACAACCCTTTTACTAAATGGTGGTTTTTCTGTATTTGTGAAGCAAAATTATGAATTTAAAGAACAAGGAAATAGTTTCTCATGGTTTTCCCTGAGAAACTAATTATGGGCAAAGTAATGCAATTGGTGCGTTTGTGTTATTTTCTGTTAAATAGCACATCTAGCAAAAATCCTGAAAGGGGGAAATCAGTCATTTAGACCCTTCATGATGCCTGGAAATACAAAACCTTAAACAGAGGATGGAGAATTCTGGTCTGTTGAGCCTAACCAGACCCATGGAGGTTGTCCATTTCAGTCCATGGTGCTTTCTTGGCTTCCTCCAAGGAATCTACAGATCAGAGACAACAGTGGGGATGTCGTCAAGGGAGGATGTTTAGCTTGTACTGGGAAGAGCACCCCACTCTGAGCACTGGCTCAGTCCTTCCACTGGTGGGGGTGCAGTGTAGACAAACTGGTCCCCGCCAGACTAGCAGTGTGGAACTGGTGCTCATGCGTCTCCTTTCCCACTTCCTTGTTAGATAGGATGGAGTGTGTGCCTTTGTTTTTTTCTGAGTTAGCTTAACTGCATATTAATATGTCTTGTCAACCATAAGCTGTGATTAATGGTCTGTTCAAGCAAAACTCATGGTTTGAAGTTGGTTT